CGTTGCAAGTCAAGATTGCCGCCGCGGCGCCGAGGAGGAAGTGAACGAGTCGAGTATAGTTTAACCGACTGTGTACGCTGAGCCCACGTCCAACAACTCCCTTCCCCCTGCTCGCCATTTCCACGGCTACCGCGTCTTTGATGGTGGCTCGGCAGCCCCCGCTTCCGCTCCTCCCTTCGCCTCTTAAGGGGTCGACCATAGACTGCACGGCCCATTTGGGGAGAGAGAGGCAATAGTCACGTGACATGGGAGGGATATAGTCACGTCTTTGTGGGACGCACTCACATGGGTGATCCAGTTAGCGTGGCGTTGTGTTGTGCAGCTCATCCGTCGCTCGTTTGCAGAACGGTAACAGAGGACTCATGGTAAAAAGGGACGTGACGACAAGGTCAAAAACAGGTCACGTGGAATATGGACGACCCCTTTTGCACCCGAGCTTACTGCCTCTAAGTCCGTCCCTTCCTGTTTAGCATGCCGCTTACCTCCAGCCTCCAAAAATATCCTATTTTGGAGACGTTCAGTAAAGTACGCATTGCAATAAATTTGCCAATTACTTTTCTTTCTTCTTCTCTAATTCTACGAATTTTGGAAACCGAGTACTTAGTCTTCCCCCCTCCCCTCCCCCTACCAAAAGCTGCAAAGTACTGTTTAAATGGTATTTGAAACTGATTACCGACCTGTGCTACATTTTGATTAGTGCGGTAAATGTATTATAATACTTAATTTATTTTTGTAAAAGCTCAGTTGATATGTACATTTATTTGTTGTCATTTCTCTTGTCATTTTACCTCGGTGATATATTGTGTTTGCTGTTGTTTTTATTAGTTTTAGGTTTTACTACATTGGAAGTATTTCATGTGATGTTATTAATGGCCTAGTTACTTGTAAACTAGGTAAGGGGAAAGGCTATACGTTATGTGACCTGTGCATGTGTGCATCTCATGCCGAGCGCATCTAGTACATAAAAGAGTAGTCTGTAAATAAAACGATTAAGCCGACGAGAAACTATTTTCTGTATATAAACAATGGACATGAAGAAGTGCCAAACGTTAATTTGTATTTATCTCCCCTTTCGGTTAAAAAAAAAAAGAAAACTAGCAAATTGAAAAAAAAATGACATTTTGCCTGTGGAAAACTAAACTATCGGATTTAGTTTCCCACTCTCTTATGTTCAACTCGGTATGAAACTTGCAATCACTCACATGTAAGTGAAGGCCGGTTGAACATTTGTTTTACCAGAACAGGCGGGTCGGGTGGGGGTGGGTGGTGCTTGTGGTAGAGCTCGAAAGCTGGCGCTGTATCCGCTATCTGGAGTGAAATGACACTCCTGACAGAAGTCCGGCTATCCCTCCCTCTCGGGTGCCAGGTAGCTGCCGCGGCCTTGGGTCGCGTCGCGGTCCGCGCGCACCACGCCAACGCGCTGGCGATTGAAAAGGTATGCGAGGCCGAGAAGGGGAGCATCTGGCGAATGAGAAATACCGTAAGGTATCGCCGACGACTATTCAGCGCGCGTATGGCGCAGGAGATGGGCGAAAGGGACACAAGAGTGGGGGAGTATGAGTCACTGCGCCGTTCCTTTCCGACACCGCGGCGGCAGGAAGGAACCAGAAACTTCCTCCCCCGCCTGCCACTTTGCTGATGCTGCTGGCGCGCTGACGCGGCCGCGACACGCCATGCCACGCCCCGCGCTGCTGACAAATGCACGGCGATCCGAACAACTACACGCGCTCCGAACACTGATCCATCACCTGCCCAGGCGGAGTCAGCGTTCTTTCGCCCCCCAGAGAGACAAAGCGACATCCGCGCCAGGGCCAGGTTCAGCGGCGGTGGGATGGGAGGGGAGGGGAGGGGGCGGCCTCTGAGGCAGCCTGTCACCGAGTCGTCTGGCAGCGGGCCAGGGGGCTTGTACTGTGTAGCACGGCTTCACAAACGTGATGTTGATGACGGCGGCGCGCCAAAGTAGGGAAAAAGTGGCGGAAGGAACTATTTCGGGGGTGAGCAGGAGGGTGGGG